GTACTGGGGATCGAATTCAGATCCTTGTGCTTGTGAGGCAGTCGCCAGAACCACTGAGCTAAATCCCCAGCCCAAGGAGAACCTTTTTGCAGATTGGGAAAGGACTCAGGGAAAAGGGGAAGGAAATAAAAACTGATTGACATGTATTTGTATTCATCCCCAAAACAAATGTAACTATTGTGTATCACAAACATATATACTAATAAAAAAGAAGAGTGTGCAAAAAGGGAATATATAGGCATTGCCAGGGGAGTGATTCTCAAAACTGTGGCCAAGGAGGCCAAAGACTTGGATGCATCACCCAGGAAATGAGACAAGGGGAGGGCCAGGGAGGGTGGGCGGAGCTGGAGCTCTTGTTGGCTTCCTTCAGGGTGGAGCAGGACGTGGCCTAGGAGGGGTAGAGAGGCAAGAGCACACACTTTTCTCTCCTGAGGCCTCTGTGTGTGGCGGGGAGTGCTGGGGATTGAACTCTAGGCTTGCACTGAGCTACAGTCCAGCCATTTTTATTTTATTGAATTTTTTTTTAACCAACGGCTTGGCTTTATTTTTCTCATGTGAATACAGTGTACTGTTCATTTCACTTAATGCAGCACACAATATTGCTGTAAATTTTTAAATTTTAATGCAAGATTTGTTGAGGGGGATGGGATAAAATAAAATTAAAAACAAAAAACGAGGTCTGACTGGATTGCCCAGGCTGGGTTCAAACTGCTATCCTCCTGCTTCAGCCTCCTAGAGCGCTGGGCTTACAGGCATGTGCCACCACTGCAGGTCCCTGAGGTACTCAGAGGAGAGGAAGGGTGCTGTCCCCTGGGTTCGGGAAATAAGGGTATACTGGTGTTCTTTTGCCACACGGTAAATTATTACAAACTTGGTGGCTTAAAGCAACACCCATTAGCTCCTGGATTTGTCTGTAGGTCATAAATCTTGACACAGTACAGCTGGGTTCTCTGCTTAGTGTTTCGCAAGGCTGAAGTCAAGGTGTTGGGACTCAGATTTCTTTGCAGAGATTTCTTCCACCAGCCAGAGAAACTGCTGTCAGAGGGCCTGTGTTACAAGGCCAGGCTCACCTGGGTAATGTCCCTTTCTGTGTAGATTATCTGCTCTGGGACTATGGTTACATCTGAGAAATTCCTGAACAGCAAGCATTACCAAGATTAATGTGACCACTGCCCCAGCACAACACAGATGAAACAAAGGAGGAGGGATTGAAACAATGGTTGGATCTGTTCTGAAATATGTATGCCTTCAACATTGGGTTGGTTTTGTTTTGCTAAAAATAATGTTGAGTAGAGGAGAAGTTAAAATGATCCACACTTCTTAGCTCAGTGGCACTGTGCCTGCCTGACACGCACAAGGTTCTGAGTTCAATCCCCAGTACCGAGGAAAAAAAAAAAAGATCCCCACTGGGTGTCAAATAGTCTGGATATGACGCTGGCCTTTGCTCCCCTTTTCGGTACTTTCTGAGTGAGTTCATAGCCACAGACTGGCTCTGCTAATTCGTCCTGTATCCAGTCAACACAGAAAAACCTCATTCCACATGCTGTTACAAATGCTTTCTGACTTGGATTTCTGCAGTTTGCTTGTTTACACGGTTTATCTTTTGCCTTTTCTTGCCAAGACTTAGGAACTGTTAGTATATCATTGATCAAGGGTTGCTAATCATGGCTCTCAGGCCACATTCAGCTAAGTGCCTGTTGCTATGAGGCCTGCAATCCCCTCCACCCCGTGTCTGTCTGTCCGTGTCTCTCTCTTTCTTCTGATAGTCCAGGCTGCCCTTGAACTCAGTATATAGCCCCAGGCTGGCCTCAAACTTGTGTCGATCCACTTGCCTCAGCCTCCCAAGTGCTGGAATTTCAGGTGTGCACCACCACACCTGGCCCCAACCTGTCCTTTAACCTTGCTTGTGGATTCTCCCACTACTGTTTTTATGTCTATATTTCCTTTATGGCTTTTAGGCTTCCTGCATTCCTTAATAAAGCCTTCAACCTAAGTATATGCAAATATTCTCCTAGTTTCTCTATTGTTAATTTAATCACTTTTATAGTTTGTCTTTCGATCTCTGATTCACCTGTTTTATGATGTGAGGAAAGACTTAGCTTTGTTTCCAAACAGCCAATATGTCAGTTATACTTGGTAAATAAAATGTTATTTTCCGACTGTCTCTGTGAGGTTTTCATTTTTTCAGTCCTCATAAATACCTGGATCTATTTCTGGGGTTTCTATTTTGTTTCAGTCACTGTCATTTATTTGTGTTTCCTTTATCAACATGCTAATGCTCTGCTATAGTCATATATCAGGGCGGGTTTGGATCAGTAACACAGTCAGACAAATCCTAATACAACCATGGCTTAGATAAATCAGACGTTTATTTCTGTGTGAGGTAAAATAATTCCATTGGCAGCCTGAAAGCAGTAATATGGTAGATGCATATTTAAGGACTGGGTCCTTTCTATTCTCCATTGTCCTCCAATTAGTTTCCATTATTAAAATTATCACAAAGCTCAAGATGGCACCTGGAGTTCTGGGCATCATACTGGTATTCCATTTCAGGTAGAAGAAAGAGGAAAAGGTGGGGGGGGGCTTTTCCAAACCTTTTGTTTTATTTTGTTTTTTGAAACAGGGTCTTGCTGTGTAGTTGTTCAGGCTGGCCTTGAACTCACTTTGTAGCCCAGGCTGGCCTGGAACTCTCGTTGATCCTCCTGCCTCAGTACCGTACTGGTATTACAGGTGTGTGCCACCACACCAGGCTTCAAACCTTTGTTTACCCTCTTTGAAAGAGTCTAGAAGTAGTATTTCCCAACCCAGGACTGTCGCGAGCCGGCGACGCAGAGCACTGTCCAGCAGTGTCTCAAACCTGAAAGAGCAGCAGGGTGGAGATGGGGCAGAGAGAAAGGAAGGACGCCAAGACAAGAGTCTGATCAAGGCGACGTTTATTGCCGGCAAACATCAGCCTTTTAAAGCAAAAAACCCCCCCCCCACAAACTATTATGGGATGGGTTTACCATAGTAACTGAAAGTTCACACAGGAAAAGAGCAAACAGGCTCAACAAAAACAACCCACCATGGGTAGTAGTAACCCGGACAACCACACATCTGAAGGTCAGAGACAAGAAACTGCAACTTTCAGGAATTCCACAAAGGAAACACACCACCTGCTAAACTGGAGAAACTTAACACATATGGAGTTACTAAAGTTAACAATACTTAAAACCAATACTCATGATTCCCACACAGGACATTCACACTATGCTATGTTTTAATATTTT